ACAGTTTGCAGCAAAGACAATTATCAGAGACAAAAGAGGCATTATATAATGATAAAAAGGTCAGTCCCTTAAGAACACATAGTGATTTTATATGTATATGCACAAATTCACAGAACTGTAAATTATGTGAAGCAAAAACTGAAAGAAGAAATAGACAAATCCACAACTGATCAAACCACTAGGTAGAAAATCAGCAAGGATATAAAAGAATTCAACAACACCATTGACCAACAGGATCTAATTGGTACTTATAGTGTGTGCCACTCAACAATAGCAGGATATACATTCTTTTCAAGTATGCTTGGAGCATATATCAAGATAGACCATATCCTGGCCATAAAACAAATATCAACATATTTAAAAGAATATAAATCATATAAGTATATTCTCTGACCACAATGGAATCAACCTAGAAATCAATATACAAAGATAACAGAAAAATCCTCAAACACTTGAAAACTAAACAACACACTTCTGAACATTCATGAGACAAAGATAAAGCCTCAAGGAAATAAAAACATATATTGAAAGAATGAAAATGAAAACAATACCTCAAAATTTGTTGGATGCAGCTAAAGCAGCGCTGAGAGGGAAATTTATAGAACTAAATGCATATATTAACAGGAAAAGTCTCAACTCAATAATCTAAGCCCCCACCTCAAGAACCTATAAAAAGAAGAGCAAAATAAGCCCAAAGCAAGCAAAAGGAAGGGAATACTAAAGAGCAGAAATCAATGAAATTGAAAACAGAAAAATGATATAGAAAGTCAGTGAAACAATTGGTTCTTTCAAAAGATCAATAAAAACTGACAAACTTTTAGCAAGCCTGAGAAAGAAATAAAGAAGACACAGATTGTTAATACTGGGAATCAAGCAGAGGATACCACTAAAGGTCCTGCAGACATCAAAAAGATAATAGGAAACACTACAATCACACAAATTTGACAACTTAAAAAAAGGATCATTTCCTACAAGCAACACAAACTACCACAACTCACACAATATGGAATAGAATATTTGAATTCCCCTACAACTATGAAGGAAATTGAATTCATAATTTTAAAACTCTCAAAAAAGAAATCCCCCAGATGGTTTCACAGGAGAATTTTATCAAACATTTAAAGAAAAGTTAACACCAATTATACACAATTTCTTCCAGAAAATAGAAGAGGAGGGAGCATGTCTCAGTTTATTTTATGAAGCTTCTACTGGCATGATACCAAAACCAGACAAAGACAGTACAAAAAAAGGAAAACTAAAGCATAATCTCTCTCATAAATATGGATGCAAAATTCTTAACAAAATATTAACAAATAAAATTCAGCACTGTATCGAAAGAATTATATTCCATGACCAAGTGGGGTCCACTTTAGGAATTCAAGGTTTGTTCAATATTCAAAAATCAATGTAATCTCTCATATTAGCAGACTAAAGAAGAAACATCACATGATCATATTAGTTGGCACAGAAAAAGCATTTGACAAAATTCAACACTTATTCATGGTAAAATTCTCAGAAAAAAATTAGGGAAATTAGCTCAACTTAATAAAGTCCAATCTCACCACTCTTATTCAGTGTCATGCTGGAAGTTCTAGCCACTGCAATAAGGCAAGAAAAATAAATAAAAGGCATACAGATCAGAAAGAAAGAAAGAAAACTGTCCCTGTTTACAAAGGACATTATTATCTATCGAGAAACTCCAAGGAATTTACAAAAATAAACCTCCTCTAGATAAAAGCAAGTTCAACAAGGCCTCAAAATATAACATAAACATACAAAATTAATTACATTTCTATATATAAGCAATGAAGATGTGAACACCAAAATTAAAAACACAACATCATTTACAATCTCTCAAAAAAATGATACTTACGTGTAAATTTAACAAAATATGTACAGGGCTTGTATGCTGAAAACTATACAACATGAAAAAAAAAGGAAATCGAAGATCTAAATGAATGCAGAGACATAGAATGTTTACAATTGGAAGATTCAACTCAGTAAAAATGTTAATTCTTCCTAAATTGATAATGTAATCCCTATTGAAATCCCAGCAAGATTTTTTTTGTCAATATAGACAAGATTATCCTAAAATTTATATGCAAAGGCACTAAAATAGCAAAAACAGTTGTGAAAAAGAAGGATAAAATGGAATCAGTCTATATGATTTCAAGACCTTTTATATAACTACAGTAATCAAGAGAGTATAGTATTGCAGGAGGAACAGACATATATATCAACAGAACCAAAGGTAGAACACCAAAATACATCCATACAAATACGCTTTACTAATTTTGACAAAACTACAAATTCAATGGAGGAGAGAGAGCCTTTTCAAGCAATGTTGCTGGAGAAATTAGACATCTATCGATAGGCCAAAAAAATGAACCTTGACCTAAACTCATATCTTATACAAAAAATGACTCAAAATGGATCATGGACTTAACTGCACAACATAAATCTATGAAAATTTTAGAAAAACAAATTTAAAATCTTCAGGATCTAGAGTTGGGCAAAAGTCATACTTTATACCAAAAGCATGATCAATAAATGAAAAATTGATAAATTGAACTTCATCAAAATAACAGTGCTTGCCCTTCAAAAGACCCTTTTGGAGGGATAAAAAGACAAGCTATAAAATAGTAGAAAATATTTGTGAACCACATAAACAAGAGACTAGTATCTAGATTAAAGTAGTCTCAAAATTAAACAGTAAGAAAACAAATATTTCACTTAAAAAATGGGCAAAAGAGAGGGCAACGGCACCCACTGATGTCTCGGTCTCCGGAGAGGATCCTCCTCTCACCGAGATGCCCCCAGAGCCCACTAGGCAGCTGCACTATTTAATTCAGCCTTTGGAAGTTTTTTGGGCATCGTTATAACACCCTTACTATTGCTGCTTTTTCTTGGCTCATCCTCTTCTGTGCCTTTTACATCTATTTTTTCTCAGCTTTTTATAACTGTTGTGGTTCCTCTCATTATTGGACAGATTGTCCGAAGATACATCAAGGATTGGCTTGAAAGAAAGAAACTGCCTTTTGGTGCTATCAGCAGCAGTAGGCTCCTCATGATCATCTACACGACATTCTGTGACACGTTCTCTAACCCAAATATTGACCTGGATAAATTCAGCCTTATTCTCATACTGTTCATAATATTTTCTATTCAGCTGAGTTTTATGCTTTTAACCTTCATCTTTTCAACCAGGAATAATTCGGGTTTCACACCAGCAGACACCGTGGCTATCATTTTCTGTTCTACACACAAATCCCTCACGTTAGGGATTCCAATGCTGAAGATAGTGTTTGCAGGCCAAGAGCACCTCCCGTTGATATCTGTCCCCCTGCTCATCTACCATCCGGTTCAGATCCTGCTGGGCAGTGTGCTGGTGCCAACAATAAAGTCTTGGATGGTGTCAAGGCAGAAGAAACTGCTCCAAACCAGGGGACCACTGGCTAACTTAGAATAATCCAGAAGACTTGGAATATTTATCTATCCCACTTGACCACAAAAATAAAGAGAAAATGTCAATCTTAAAAAAAAAAAAAAAATGGGCAAAAGACATGAATAGACATTTCACCAAACAGAATATGCAGATGGCACAGAGCCACATGAAAAGATGTTCCCATCATTAGAGAAATGCATATTAAAACCACAATGAGATATCACTATACACCTATCAGAATTGCTAAAATAAAAAATAGTGATAACATGAAATGCTAATGAGGATGCAGAGAAATTAGAGCACTCATGTATTGCTGGTGGGAATGTAAAATTGTACACTCTGGAAAACAGTTTGGCAGTTTTGTAAAAAAAAAAAAACAGCCAAGTATATAACTACTGTATGACCCAGCACTTGCTCTCTCGGGGATTAATCACAGAGAAATGAAGAATTAAATTCATGCAAAAACCTGCACATAAGTGTTTTTAGAAGCTTTATTTGTAATGGCCATAAACTGGAAACAATCCACATATCCTTCAATGGATGAATCATTAAGAAAAGTATGGTACATCCATGCCATGGACTACGACTCAGCAGTAATAAGGACTGAACTACTGATACACAAAACAACCTAGATGGATCTCCAGACAGTTATGCTAGGTGAAAAAAGTCAATCCCAAATGGTTAGATACAGTATGATTCCATTTATATAACATTCTCGAAATAACAAAATTATCTAATTCGGACAACAGATTGATGATTGCCAGGAGTTAAGGAGGGGATAGGGAGGAGGAAAGTAAGTATGACTGGAAAATGAAAACATGAAGGAACTGTTCTCTGTCTTGATTATATCAATGGCAATACCCTGATTGTGATATTGAACTACAGTTTTGCAAAATATTACATTTGGGGGAAACTGGGTGAAGGGGACATGGGATCTCTCTGTATTGTTTCTTCCAACTGCAGGTGAGTCTTCAATTATCTCAAAATTAAAAGTTTAATTAAAAATATAGTTGAGATTTTGTGGAAAAAATGGAATTCTAAAGAAAAACTAAGAAACTTTAAGTGGCTGCAATTAGTAATTTACAAAACCTCCCCATCTTGAGGAAAACTTCCCTCTCTTGGCCTCATATTTATCTTCTTGCTGACTATAGAAAAAAACCTTATAGCATGTATACTGAGTTCATTCTAATAGAATTTTAAAAAAGTAGATTTCTAGAGCCAAGTGGAATTTTAGAGAACATTTACTTCAACTAGATGTGTAAGGAAGGAGCTGAGGCCAGAGTGGCTATTATATTAGGAAGCCTGGGGTCAGGGCAGGTATCCAAGTGAACATATCCTCTAGGCAATTAGAAATACAAGACTGGAGTAGTGCTGAAAACTCATGACCAGAGATGAAGACTTAGATCATTTTCATAGAAATAATGGTAAAAGTCTTAAAGGAAGATGAACTTATCAAAGGAAAAAAATATGACTTATACTATGACAAATACCTAAGGGCTACAAATACCTAGGGTGCATGTTGGGCAAACACTCACACTTTTCATTTCTTTTCTAGACTAAAGCCAGCTACTTACATAAATATAAAGAAATACAGCACATCCTGGACACCACCCAGAAATCCCCCTTTTATAAGCCAGAGGAATCTTATGGTAAGCTCTTCAGAAAGCCTCCAGCCTGTGTCCCAGAGGTCATTTGAAAGTTTATCACCTCTCAAAGAGCCCAAGAAAAGGAAAAAACATCCTCGAATCAAGGCCACGAAGACTAAAGACATGAAACCTGTCAGCAGCAAATGGGAGATTATTCCAAGTTTTGAGAAGGATGCAAATATTATCGAAGACAAGAGTCTTCAAGCTGAAGCATCCAACCAGCCAAGTTCTATGCAAAGAGCCCACCATTTAAGTAAAAATAAGGAGTAGCAACCAAATAAGAATGATGGCCAACCTACCTTCCATTTGACATTCCAAAGGGACAAATAATCTAGCTTTATGCTGCTCTGAAAACTGTGGGTGAAAGCTAACATATGCTTACATAGTAAAAAGAAAAAGAAAGCCCTCCAGATCCCTCTATCGCTCTTCCTCCCCGACACATGCATATGTGTGCACTGAACTACAAATCCTGAGTACCCCAGCTTCTTCAGTGGGAATATCTTTCAGAGATTTAAAAAGAAATCCAGACACAACATAGAAAATTTTAAATCATTTAGATACTTATATTTAATTCTTGCCAAGATGAAAAAAAAACTCTGATCTTTTGATTTCTTTCAAAATGACTTATTCATACAACACCAAAAAACCCCAAGAACTCAAGGAATGAATGTCATGTACTATCACTGACTTTAATGTCCCTTACTAGGCACTTCAATGAATCAGTCGAAAACATCATTTCCTGAATTTCTATTGTATCCGTGGTGTGCTAAGAACCATTAGTTATATAAAAGGCATTTCTCCCCCAAAGATTACTGATTAATTGTACATACAACACACATGAGTAAAATAATTACAGAATAAGATGGTACATAGTAAAATGCTCAGTTGTGTACCTCCAACAATTAGAAAAAAACAGTATATAATAAAAGATGCTAATTGTACACAGCAAAAGTGTGCCACAAAATGTCACTGAAATGCATAGATTATGATTTAAATAGTCATTTTACTTCTCACAATTTAGCAAAAATATAAAAGATTAGATGTGCAGTTTCCTTTAGAGCTGATGAATGTACATCTCCAGCCATTTATTCACGTGGAAGCAAGTGGAGGACCTCACAGTGTGTCATTCATAAGACAATACATACTAGTGAGATTCCTGAAGGACGCTAGAGAAACAGGTATGTCAGGCCAATAAGTCAAGATGGATGCAGTAAGTGAGAAAACAGAGTCAACCAGCCTAGGGTTACGGGTCCATAATGGCGTCCATTACAGGATGAGGCTAAGCAGAATGAGGATCAGGTAGGAGAGGTACATTAAAGTTACAGGTCACAAGCCTAATTAGGTCATGGTAGCAAGATGAAACTAGGAAGATCTGAGGTTGGGTAGTATACTCTCAACAATATATCCAGTAGCCAAAGAAAGTAGAAGGAGAACTCGGGATATTAAAAGAGTAACAATTATATTTTTGCTTTTGCTTTTAATAGACTTTATTTTTTAGAAAAGTTTTAGGTTCACAGCAATTTTGAGCAGAAGGTACAGAGAATTCCCATATATTCCCTGGCCCCCATACATGCATAGCCTCCCCATTATCACCATCACCCACCAGAATGATATATTTGTTACAATTGATAAACCTAATATGATACATCATAATCATCCAAAGTCAATAGTTTACATTTGGGTTTATTCTTAGCACTGTACATTCTATGAGGTTGGACAAATGTATAATGAAATATATGTACCATTATAGTGTCATGCAGAATAGTTTCACTGCCATAAAAATCCTCTGTGCTTTGCCTATTCATCCGTCTCTTCTCCCTAACCCCTGGCAACCACTCGTCTTTGCTTTTTTTTTAAATTAAGGTCATATTGGCTTACAACATTGAGTAAATTTCAGGTGTATATTATTATATTTCAGTTTCTGTGTAGGCTGCATCATGTTCACCACCAATAGTGTAGTTTTTATCTATCACCATGCATATGTGCCCCTTTACCCCTTTCACTCTCCCCCTACCCCCTTCTCCTCTGCTAACTACTAATCTGTTCTCCTTATCTGTGTTTATCTTTCACATAAGAGTGAAATCATGGGATATTTGCCTTTCTCTGTCTGATTTATTTTGCTTAACATAATACTGTCAAGGTCCATCCATGTTGTCGCAAATGGCATGATTTTGTCTTTTTTATGGGTGAATAGTATTCCATTCTATATATACCACATCTTCTTTATCCATTCATCCATTGATGGGCACTTGAGATTCTTACACATCTTGGCTATTGTGCAATGAACATAGGGATGCATAAATCTTTTTGAATTACTGTTTTCAAGTTCTTTGGATAAATACCCAGTAGTGAAATAGCTGGATTATATGGTATTTCAATTTTTAATTTTTTGAGAAATCTCCATACTGTTTTCCATAGTGACTGCACCAGTTTGCATTCCCACCAGCAGTGTGTGAGGGTTCCCTTTTCTCCACACCCTTTCCGATACTTGTTATTTCTGTCTTGTTAATTATAGCCATTCTGACCAGTGTAAGGTGACATCTCATTGTAGTTTTGATTTGCTTTTCCCTAATAATTAGTGATATTGAACATCTTTTCATGTACTTGTTGGCCATCTGTATATCTTCTTTGGAAAAATGTCTGTTCATATCCTCTGCCCATTTTTGCTGAGGTTGTTCATTTTTTGTTGTTGTTGAGTTGTATGAGTTCTTTATATATTTTGGAAATTAACTACTTGTCAGACATATGATTCACAAATATTTTCTCCCAGTTGGTGGGCTGTCTTTTTATTTTGTTGATGGTTTCCTTTGCTCTGCAGAAGCTTTTTAGTCTCATGTAGTCCCATTTGTTCATTTTTTCTTTTGTTTCCCTTGCCTGGTGAGACATGGTATTCAAAAAGCTACTGGTAAGACCAATGTTGAAGAGTGTACTGCCTATGTTTTCCTCTAGGAGTTTTGTGGTTTCAGGTCCTCCATTCAAGTCTTTAATCCATTTTGAGTTAATTTTTGTGTATGGTGTAAGATAATGGTCTACTTTCGTTCTTTTGCATGTGGCTGTCCAGTTTTCCCAACACCATTTATTGAAGAGACTTTCTTCTTTGTATATTCTTGGCTCCTTTGTCAAAGATTAGCTGTCCCTAGATGTATAGTTTTACTTCTGGGCTCTCAATTCTGTTCCATTTATCTGTGTGTCTATCTTTCTGCTAGTACCAAGATGTTTTGATTACTATAGCTTTGTAGTATATTTTGAATTTAGGGAGTGTGATAACCTCCAACTTTGTTCTTTTCTCTCAGGATTGCTGTGGCCACTTGGAGTCTTATTGTTCCACATAAATTTTAGGATTCTTTGTTCTATTTCTGTGAAGAATGTCATTGGGATTCTGACTCTGATTGCATTGAATCCATAGATTGCTTTAGGTAATATGGATGTTATAACTATGTTTATTCTTCCAATCCATGAACACAGAATATCTTTCCATTTCTTTATGTTTTCTTTGATTTCTTTCGATAATGTCTTGTAGTTTTCAGTGTATAGTTTTTCACTTCCTTGGTTAAATTTATTCTTGGGTACTTTATTCTTTTTGTTGCAATTGTAAATAGGATTGCATTCTTGATTTCACTTTCTGCTAGTTTGTTATCAGTGTATAGAACTGCAACTGACTTTTGTATGTTGTTTTTTACCATGCAACTTTACTGTATTTGTTGATTATTTATAATAGTTTTTTTGATGGATTCTTTAGGGTTTCCTGTATATATAGAATCATGTCACCCACAAATTGTGACAGTTTTACTTCTTCCTTTCCAATTTGGGTCCCTTTTATTTCTTTTTCTTACCTAATTTCTCTGACTAAAACTTCCAGTACTATGTTGAATAAGAATGGCAGGAGTGGGAATCTATTTCTTGTTCCTGTTCACAGAGGAATAACTTTCAGTTTTCAACATTGAGTATGATGTTGGCTGTGGGTTTGTCATATACGGCCTTTATTATGTTGAGGTGCTTTCCTTCTATGCTCATTTTATTGAGAGTTTTTATCATAATTGGATGTTGGATCTTGTCAAATGCTTTCTCTGTGTCTATGGAGATGATCTTGTGATTTTTATTCTTCATTTTGTTAATGTGGCGTATCATATTGATTGATTTGCAGATATTGAACCATCCTTGCATCCTTAGAATAAATTGCACTTGTTGGTGGTGTATTATCCTTTTAATGTATTGCTGTATTCAATTTGCTAATATTTTGTTGATTTTGCATCTATGCTCATCAGTGATATTGGCCTGTAATTTTCCTTTTTTGTATTGGCTTTTTCTGGTTTTGGTATCAAGGTAATATTGGCCTCATAAAATGAGTTATGAAGTGTCCCATTCTCTCATTTTTGGGGAGTGTTTGAGAAGGATAGCAACGAAGTCTTCTTTGAATGTTTGGTTGAAGTCAACAGTGAAGCGATCTAGTCCTGGCCTTTTGTTTTCTGGGAGGTTTTTGATTACTATTTCAATCTCCTTACTTGTGATTGATCTATTCAGATTCTTTATTTATTCTTGATTTAGTTTTGGGAGATTGTATGATTCTAAGAATTTATCCATTTCTTCTAGGTTATCCAATTTTGTTGGTGTATAGCTTTCTATAGTATTCTCTTATAATCCTTTGTATTTCTGTGTTGTCTGTTATAATTTCTCCTCTTTCATTTCTGATTTTATTTATTTGAATCTCCTCTCCTTTTTTCTTAGTGAGTCTAACTAAGGGTTTGTCAATTTTGTTTGTCTTCTCATAGAACAGCTCTTAGTTTCATTGATCCTTTCTATTGTTTTTTAGTTTCTATTTTGTTTATTTCTGCTTTGATTTTTATTATTTCCTTCCTTCTGCTGACTTTGTTCTTCTTTTTCTAGTTGTCTTAGGTATAGCATAAGCTGTTTATTTGAGATTTCTCTTATTTCTTTTTTTGTGAGGAAGATTGGCCCTGAGCTACCATCTGTTGCCTATTTTCCTCTTTTTGGCTTGAGGAAGACTGTCACTGAGCTAACATCTATGCCAATCTTCCTCCATTTTATGTGGGATGCCACCACAGCATGGCTTGATGAGCGATGTTAGATCCCCTCCTGGGATCCAAACCTGTGAACTCCAGGCCACTGAAGCAAAGCACATGAACTTAATCACTATGCCACCAGGTCGGTGGCCTACCTTTCTTAAAGTAGGCCTCTGTTGCTATAAATTTACCTCTTAGTACCACTTTTGCTGCCTCCCATAAGAGTTGGAATGTTGTGTTTTCATTTTCATTTGCCTCTAGGTATTTTTTTATTTCTCCTTTGATTTCTTCATGGATACAATGGTTGTTTAGTAGCATGTTGTTTAGTCCTCATATATTTGTGACTTTCCTAACTTTTTTCTTGTAGTTGATTTCTAGTTTCAAAGCATTGTGGTCAGAAAAGATGCTTGATATGATTTCAGTCTTCTTAAATTTATTAAGGCTTGCCTTGTTTCCCAACATATGGTCTATCTTTGAGAATGTTGCATGTGTACTTGGGAAGAATGTGTATTCTGCTGTTTTTTTTGGGTGGAATGTTCTGCATTTATCTATTAAGCCCATCTGGGCTAGTGT